TTAAAAAAAAGGAAAGAAAAAGGAAGGCACCCCAAGCAAAGCAGCAACTTAGAAAAAAAATTAAAAAGCGGGGGGGGGGGGGGGGGGAGTCAAAGGGAGCTTTGGAACAGGAAACAAAACAACATCCACATCATAGGAGTGCCATAAGGACAAGAAGCTGAGCAAAGAATAGAAAACCAGTTTGAAGAAATAATGACAGAAAACTTCCCTGACATGGGAAGAAAAATGTCACACAAGTGAATCCCAAACAAAATGAACTGAAAAAAACTGACACCAAGACACATCATAATTAAATTGGCAAAACTCAACAACAAAGTAAGACTCTTAAAGACTGCCAGAGAGGGACAGAAAGTTACCTACAAGGGATCTCCCATGAGACTGTCAACCTATTTCTCAACAAAAAAACATCAGACCACAAGAGAATGAAATGAAGTATACAAAGTGATGCAAAGCAAGCGACTGAATCCAAGAATACTATACCCAGCAAGGCTATCATTCAAAATTGATAGTAAAAATCAGTAGCCACACAGACAAAAAGCTAAGCCCCTCCCAGTATCCTCAGGGCAGTTTATTACCACCAAGCCAGCAATGCAAGAAATGCTAAAGGGGCTGTTGTAAAAAGAATAAATAGAAAGGGCATAAGGAACACAGGCATAAAGAATAAAAATGGCAACAAACAAGTACCTATCAATAATAACTTTAAATGTAAATGAACTAAATGCTCCAATCAAAAGACATGGAGTAGATGAATAAATAAGAAAACATGACCCATATATATGCTGTCTACAAGAGACCCACCTTAGAACAAAGGACTCACACAGACTGAAAGTGAATGAATGGAAAAAAATTTCAGGCGAAGGGAAATGAAAAAAAAAAAAAGCTGGGGTACCAATATTTATATCTGACAAACTAGACCTTAAAGTGAAGGCCATAACAAGTGATAAAGAGGGCCACTTCATAACACTTAAGGGATTGATATAACAAGAGGCTATAATTCTGGTATACATATATGCACCCAATACAGGAGCATCTAAATATATTTTTTTAAAAACTTCAGGAGGATATCAAGGGAGACATCACAGCAATAAAATCATAGTAGGGGTCTTTAATATCCCACTTACATCATTGGATAAATTTTATAGCCAAAAAATATCAACAAGGAAACAGCAATCCAAAATGAGACTCTGGAACTAATTGACATCTTCAGAATATTCCACCCCAAAAACTACGGAATATACATTCTTCTCATGGGAAATTTTCAAAGACAGACCACATCTTAGGACACAAGCTAAGTCTCTATAAATTCAAGAATATTGAAATAATATAAAGCATCTTCCCAGACCAAAATGGCATGAAATTCAAAATCAGCTATAATAAAATACTCAAAAACAATCAAATACATGGAGGCTAAATAGCATGCTATTAAACAAAGAATGGGTTAGGAAAGAGATCAAAGAAGAAATTAAAAACATCCTGGAAACAAATGAAAATGAATACCCAACAACCCAAACCTATAGGACACAGTGAAAGCAGTCCTGAGAGGGAAATTCATAGCACTACAGACCTACCTCAAAAAAACTAGAAAAACTGGTAATAAGTTATCTAACACTACAACTTAAATAATTAGAAAGAAAACAAGAAAAGGCCAAAACAAGTAGAAGGAAGGAAATAATAAAGATCAGAATGGAAACAAATGACATAGAAACAAACAAACAACAACAAAAAACAATACAAAAGGTAAATAGAACCAAGAGCTGGTTCATCGAAAGGATAAATAAGATTGATAGATATCTAGCCAACCTCACCAGGAAACAAAAAGAGAGGACCTAAATAAACAAAATCAGAAATGAAAGAAGAGAAGTAACAACTGACCACACAGAAATACAAAGGATTGTAATAAAATACCATGAACAACTTTATTCCAACAAACAGGACAACCTAGACAAAATGGAAATATTTCTAGAAAAATACAACCTTCCAAAACTCAATCAGGAAGAATCAAAAAACTGGAATAAGCCAATAACTACCAATAAAATTGAAGCAATAATTGAAAAAAACTCCCAGCAAACAAAAGCCCTGGTTCAGACAGATTCACAGCAGAGTTTTATCAAATATTCAAAGAACTAACTCCTCTACTTCTCAAACTATTCCAAAAAATTCAAGAGGAAGGAACACTTCTGAACTCTTTTTATGAGGTCTGCATCACCCAAATTCCCAAACCAGATAAAGACACGACAAAGAAAGAGACAAGCCAATATCCCTGACGAAGATAGACCCTAAAATCCTCAACAAAATTTTAGCAAATCAGATCCAGCAATACATTAAAAAGATCATACATCATGACCAAGTGGGACTTATTCTGAGGATGCAAGGCTGGTACAATATTCGCAAATCAATAAATATGATACAGCACATAAATAGATTGCAAGACAAAAATCATATACTGATATTAATTGATACAGAAAAAGCATTCGACAAAATCCAACACCCTTTTTTAAAAAATCCTTTATTGTTTACAGTATTATATAAGTCTCCTTCCCTCCACCCCCACCCCCCTGTTGACCTCTCCTGGCATCACGCACCCCCCATCACACGCCCTCTCCCCCTCCCCCTCCAGTCTGTGTCCATTGGTTATGCTCATATGCAGGTATACAAGTCCTTTGGTTGATCTCTTACCCCCACACCCCACACCTTCCCTCATAGGTTGGACACTCTGTTTGATCTTCTATGACACTGGTTCTATTTTTGTTCATCCATTTATGTTGTT